CGCGGCCTGCCCCGGGACCATGTCTGCGGCCGACCCCCGGCTGCCGACGGACGGCACGTGGCACGGTCAGACGGGAAAACGCGGCACGGCAACACGGGGAGCGCGCGGCTCGGTCAGACAGGGAGCGCGCGGCACGGTAACACGGGGAGCGCGCGGCTCGGTCAGACAGGGAGCGCGCGGCACGGTAACACGGAGCGCGCGGCTCGGTCAGACAGGGAGCGCGCGGCACGGTAACACGGGGGCGCGCGGCTCGGTCAGACAGGGAGCGCGCGGCACGGTAACACGGGGGGCGCGCGGCTCGGTCAGACAGGGAGCGCGCGGCACGGTAACACGGGGGGCGCGCGGCTCGGTCAGACAGGGAGCGCGCGGCACGGTAACACGGGGAGCGTGCAGCACGGTAACATGGGGAGCGCGCGGCTCGTTCGGACAGGGAGCGCGCGGCACGGTCAGACAGGGAGCGCGCGGCACGGTCAGACGGGGAGCGCGAGACTCGGTCAGACAGGGAGCGCGCAGCTCGGTCAGATAGGGAGCACGCGGCTCGGTCAGACAGGGAGCGCGCGGCACGGTCCAACTGGGAGCGCGCGGCACGGTTAGACGGGGAGCGAGCGGCTCGGTCAGACAGGGAGCGCGCGGCACGGTCAAACGGGGAGCGCGCGGCTCGGTCCAACTGGGAACGGATGGGTGCCGACCGCCGACTCGAGGTGTTTACCCACTATGCAGGCGAGCAGCGATAAGCGCGGGACAGATATCAGATGCCTCTTGGGATGCGAAGACAGGAAAGCCAAATAGTGGGGTCCTTGAACCATGTAAAGTTGACGTGAATCAGCAAGTCCATCGGCGGCTATCAGCCGTACTCAACAAGACCGCTGGCTTTAGATACGGAGCCAGAACCGGGGGATCATAGTACCAGCCAGTTACGGAGAAGTCCCCTGCCGGGAAAAAGGCACAGCACAATGACTTGACCCCAAATGAGTTCATTTTCCTAGAAACGTGAGACATTTTGAAGGACAAGCCAAATGGAGCATAGCGCCTTTGTTTAAGATCGACCCCACGCGGTATCGAGGCCGACAGTTTGCCCTCCAACTGGCACAGGCCCGGGACGCCACCACCGTCGTCAGGCGCCCTGCCCTCCCTTCCGTACCTCGGGCGGGCTGCAGCCGCTTGACCATCGGGCGGCCGCGGCCCAGCCGGGCCAGGATGCTGCGGCCGGCGACGGTGGCGCCGCGGCCGGCCGGCGCGCGCATCACGCCCAGCCGCGCCTGAATCGCCAGACGCTGCTTGACGTGCATTCGCTTCTGGGGCGCCGCCGCCGCCATCGCCGCTGGCTTCTGCTGTCAGATAGAGCAGACGGTCAGACGCAGGCCCGCCGCGGATGTGACACGGAGACCGTGTCCACAACTGGGCACGGCAACGAACAACAATCGAGGGGTCGAAATTAAGTCTCCAGTGGGCAGTTTGTCACGACAAAAAATACATCTTGCATTCAGTACATTACAAAGTTGATTATTTCTTACGAAGCGCGGCGCATCAGGGTGTGGCAGGGGGCGGGGGAGGGGAGGGGCGTAACATCATCCGCTGCCCATCGAGCGCAGCAAGGGAGAAGGGAAAGATGTACCATCACCCGCTGCCCGCCGAGCGCAGCCAGGAAGAGGGGAAAGATGTACCATGACCCGCTGCCCGCCGAGCGCAGCCAGCGAGACGGGAAAGATGTACCATGACTCGCCGCCCGCCGAGCGCAGCCAGGGAGAGGGGAAAAATGTACCATCACCCGCTGCCCGCCGAGCGCAGCCAGCACCGACGGCCGGCTCTCCATCTGCGCAGCCAGCCGTTGGTTCTCCAGCGAGCTGCCCAGTTGCAGCCGCGGCGCGCTGCTGCTGCTGTTGCTGCTGTGCTGTGTTGCTGTTGCTGTGTGCTGTTGTTGTTGCCGCTGTTGTTGCTGCTGCAGCTGCTGGTCACGCAGCTGACGCAAGTGGGAGAACCTGGTGTGGAACCACGGCCAGGTCATGACGCGCACGCGTCGACAGGCAATGGGTCAGTGGCACGCTAGGAGCGGAGCAGTCACTAGACCCCATTCACAAAACTGCCCCATTATTTCCTGTTCTTTTTGTGATGAGTTTAGCTGCAAGCAGAAAAATCATCAAACTTCACATGGCAGCTGGAAATGTTCACCTGTCATCATCACCTGTTAACATACTACACATGAACTACTGCACATCAATACCTGACATTTATGCTGTACTGGCTTTGGTTCCAGGCTACTACAGCAGTGTGTGGGACCAAACATTAATTTGCACGCTTGCACTCCCATCCCCAGTTGTTGGCTGTTGACTGACATTCTCTTCACAAACCACAGATGATGGCACAATGTATGCTGTTTCATGTTCAGCGATGTCAAAAATCTGAACTTCGCAAATAACACAATGACCATTTTGCCACAGATAGTGTATGTAAAAGTTTTAAGTATTTGAATGTGATGTTTAAGCTTTTCAATATGAAGCATAACTTAAAAAGTGGTGGCATGCTGGTGAGATCAAGAAATTATGAGGTTGGGCATGATTTTGAAAGGTATGTTGTGGTTCACATGCACCACAATGCTACAATCATGCTTGTGCGTGCTCCAACAAGATGATCCACATGCAAATTGAATGCTGAATACCTATTCACAGGCCACTTTTTAAGCAGCTGATCAAGATTGATTCTCTATCACAGGCATCATGCAATACCAATAGCTCTTAACAATGTGAGATTAGGGGCCTTTCCACTTGGGGCTTTTGGACTCTTGGACATTTTGAAACAGGAAAAATGGCAAGCACTGGTGGTAAATGCTTTCTTGCAACACAATTTTGTCCCTGACTGGTCCTTGTATGGCATGGTAGACTAAAGGATGGTGCATTCTTATTGAATGCATTATTGGATGCATCATTGGTGTGTGCATTAATGGATGCATCATTGGTGTATGCATCATTCATTGGTGTATAGATGTATCCTCCACATCATGCATGCATCCATATAGAGTATCCTCCACACCTGGTGGGGACACAGCCCACCTACCTGTCATTTAGTGACAGAGTTGTTGTTTTTGGCAGAGCAATTCTTCCAATCATTGCTGGTATCTGAAAAGGGAACAGTGATTGTGTGATCAACAGTGGTCTTCCAATCATGACATGCTTTAGCAGGGTGAAAGCTTTTGCACAGCAAAGTGAAAACCATGATGCTGTCTTACACTGTTAAAGCTGTTGATGGCTTTGTTTCTGCTGCTGTCTCTTTTTCAGTGCATGCAACAGAATACCTTAATGTGAAAGCGACTTGATAAGTGCACTAAATGTTTAGGGACTCTTTTTTATTGAATAGTGGACTATCAAATAATAATTACAACACATTGTCTTTAAAACATATCATAATGCCTAAAACATCTAAAGCCACTGAGCCCCCTGCAGTATATATAGGTGCAAAAAAAGAAAGTGGGGACCTGACTAGTACAGCCAGGGCATTCTGGCCAGTATGACTGGTACAACAAATGTCCATACTGTGCACAGGGGTAACCTTAGTTACTTACACTTTGACAGTTTAGTCGTTCCAAATTTCACGCATGCTATCTGTGTGTGTGGTAATAGGCAATGCAGCTGCTGGGAGCATTAATTCTAGGACTTTGTGACCTGCCCTTGCTGCTAATACCACCTTTGATTGTTAATGTGGCATGTTTGAAGACCCAAGGTGATTAGAATTTGACAAGCAAAAATCTGGTAGACAATATAACTACATAGCTCAGACTACATATCAGAACTTTTCCTAAATTGCATGAAAATTATCTTATAAGCAAACCTGTGACTGTGGCTTTAGGTACATTAAGTGCAAAACCATTATCTTGTAACATGTCAACCAAAGTGCTATTGTAGAACCACTTGATAAAAATGAATATATCTATAGTATCCATTCAGACAACACAATAGAATTGAGTTAGCTGAGCGAGTGATTTCATTGTCAATATAATCACCGCATTTATCATGTAAATTTCTTTCAGGGACCTGAGTGATAAATTATAGGGCTACTCACTATGCACCCCACCTAAGAGCAAACAATTTATTTCAAAGGATGGTGTGGTTGGGACAGTTTAAGGTCATTTTCCATGCACTGCTGTAAGAGTAGTGTTGTTTCCAAATGTTGGGGGTGCGTACTAAGGGCCTCCACCATGTGCTGGTTCCTGCCCCTATGCACCCACCTAACCCTTCAACATTCATCACTTGTTGTTTACCTTATATGTGCCCATAAACTGCTTATTCTGCATGATGCAAATCTGCATAACACAGCCATTACCCATAGCTTTCTTGTAAGTTATTCAGGGCAAGGCAACCTGAGCTTTCTTATCCAAAAGGCAAAAGGCCACAGGCCCCAATACTCATCCAGCTAATTCTCTGCATTATTACAGGAATGATGAAAAATGAGAAGGACAGGTGTGGCAGGGCCCCCCCCCAATGTGGATGTGGCAAATGTTAGTACTTACGTCACGTGAAAAAGGTGGAACAGTGGAATGAACTAAGCTATCTACCGCCGTTTTTCCACTGAAAGGGACCAGTTCTTGCACTTTTGTAACACCAGTTTATCACACCACTCACCACCGTCCACCCACGGCACACCATACCCTTCGGAGGGTCTCTTACCTTGATTGAGGCTTAACCAACCCAGAACCCACCCCGTGAATCCCACAGCCGGCAGTACCTCTGCCGTCCCCCGCTCCCACGCCACGACTCGCCCACAGACTCGTCAGGCTTTGGTCAGACTACGGCTATATTGGCCGTATTCTATGCAGATTAAAAAACAGCCTCTCGGAACCTAGTGGGCAAATAATCTGTATAATTATAAATAAAATATTATTATAATAAAATGCTTGTGAGTAAATTTGTGGGGTTTTTAACAAATAAAAATTATTTCGTTACTTATAAAAGCCTTTTTATTCTCAATTCTGCCATTTTCTTTTAGTTTTTGTATCGCTGATAAACGTCACGAATATACCGCAGCAATTTCGTTTTCTGGCGCACCCCAAAGGACATAGTTACACACAGCGAAATCTGTCACGACCGAACCGGAACGCCCTTCCGGGGTCCCCTCGGTGGCTGCCCGTGGTTCCCGGGCGGCGGGCGCCGAGCTCAAGCACTCAGTTTGCCTTCCATATCTTTCAAGAGCGCTATCCCCGTACAGTGGAGAAAGAATATTTATTAATTGGGATTCTTAACCTATCCAGGCTGTTACCCATTTCGCATTAGGACTCAGACCATAGACGTGCATTTTCTGTGATTCATTGTGATTTGCTTGTATTATCGGGAAGTCAAGGCTTTGCTTTTGTAAGGCTATATCCATATAAAATAACCGCACAAGGCATTATGGCGTGTGGTAAGAAAGTTACTGCAAAGATAGGTCCATCTATCTTGAACTCAGACCTGTCCATGCTTTATGATGAGTCTGAGAGGATGCTTAGGGCAGGAGCAGACTACCTTCACTTAGATGTTATGGATGGACATTTTGTTCCAAACCTTACATTTGGACATCCTGTTGTTAAATGCCTGAGACAAAAATTACCTGAATCATTTTTTGACCTCCACATGATGGTTGAGAAGCCAGAGAATGTGAGTATTGTAGTGTTTTGGACCCTTGTATAGGTGTATCATCAATTTCTGCAATTGTTTTCAGCATATTGTGTTGAGTGGGCACATCATTGCCAAGGTGGGCCATGCTTATGTGATAAGCTCCCTTAGTGCTGTGTATACATTAGTTATTGTTGCCTGGTGGTTATAGGAGTAGAAGGGTGATGTACTGTATTGACATGATGTTTACCTTTGACACATCATGGGAGCAAATGGTAAGAGAAACAAAGGGAAGTATGTGTTTTGATACTACACCAAACATATGTTTTTTATTTTGCAGTGGGTGGAAGCCATTGCGGACGCTGGGGGAAACCAATACACATTCCACGCAGAGGCATCTAGTGACATTCCAGCACTCTGCAGGAAAATAAAGGAATCTGGAATGAAGGTAGGAGAGTCAGCAATCAACATTTTGCTAGTAGTGACTGCCAATGACATAACAGTAGTGCTCAGAAATGGCGCAGTGAATGTTCACAGTCCCAGAAAGTGTATTATCATTGGTTTCCAGGGTACCAATCATGTGACTAGGGCACAAGAGCTATCTGATGTCTATCAGGACTGACCTCAGGGAGTCCTGACCAGGCTGCATCAACCACTCTACTGTGTCAACCTGTGTCTGCATCACAAAGCCACCTTCCCCAAGAACAGCAGATGAGCAGCAATGTTAGCTAGTCACATTGTTGTTTCCTGCTGCTGTAACTGTTATAGCCACCACATGTATTTATTTAGTTAGTTAGTCATTTATTTTGCATAAGTAGTCCAGAGGTTTAATAGGAGTCAGTCATTTATTTTGCATAAGTAGTCCAGAGGTTGAATAGGTACCCAGTTACAGACACAGTCAATAAGTTAAAAACAATAAATACACACACATGCATGCATGCATGCATGCATGCATGCACGCACGCACGCACGCACGCACGCACGCACGCACGCACGCACGCACGCACGCACGCACGCACGCACGCACGCACGCACACACACACACACACACACACACACACACACACACACACACACACACACACACACACACACACACACACACACACACACACACACACACACACATGCACAACCATGCATACTGCCACATGTGCAGTTACTCAAGTGCTTGGCAAGCAGATTGACTAGGTGAACATGCCCACACCACTGCAGACACTTTGGTGTCAGCCACCAGCAAGCTGATGCCAAAGGGAAAGGGGGGGAACAGGCTGCTCACTATATCAGGGAGCAAGGGAACAGGCTGCTCACTATATCAGGTAGCTGTGACTAGGTGGCAACTGGAAATAAGAGTGCAATGATTTATCTTGTGAATGGCCACTGTCACAGAGCAGCTCTGTGAGACTCCAGTGTTACCTCAAGGCTACCTCAGTATCTGCCCTTGCCAGGCTACATTTGCTGGCTTCAGCGTGCTCTGTGTTTGCCATTTGTGTCTGTGACCTTTTCACCCTGAATGAAAAGACACCAGCCATTCTCATGTGACCACAGTTGGCTCCTGGAAGGCATGTTCTGACATCTTTGAGTGGCCTGCGGACTGGTCCACGATGCGCCCGCTCGGACCTGTCGGCCTGAACTGGCCCGTCCCGCGTCGTCAGGTGGGGATCGGTATCAAGCCGGGCACGCCGGCAGAGCTGCTGCTGCCGCACGCCGAGCTGGCGGACATGCTGCTCGTCATGACAGTGGAACCCGGCTTCGGCGGCCAGAAGTTCATGCAGGACATGATGCCCAAGGTGCGCCTGCTGCGCGAGCGGTTCCCGCTGCTGGACATCGAGGTGGACGGCGGCGTCAGCCCGGCCAACATCGACCTGTGTGCCCAGGTCAGTACTTTGTCGACCTCTGTGCACGCCTTTATTGGTGGCATCTCTATGCAGGTCAGCCTATTAGCAACCCTACGCCAGCGCAATATTAACTCCTGTGCCTATGCCAGTCCAGTGTCACCTCCGCGGTCTGGTCAACCCTGAGCTGGCCAGATCGCCGGTCGGTCATTGGATGCCGATATGTAACCAGATTCGGCGTTGCCGGTCCCGCGGCGGTCCGTGAATGTGTGCGCGGCGCAGTCACTTGTTTAGTAGTCGCCCGACCTTCCCCAGATGTGCGCTTTCAAGCGCCACGATGATGGCATTGTCGTAAGTTCTGGATGACGGTCCTCGCCCTTGGTACGCGCCGCGAACGCCTGTTTCGGTTCAAGACCAAGAGACAACCATTGCAGGGTTTTTTGTTGCTTTTTTGTGCTGCCAAAGAACTTTGAGTTATTGTTGTGTCGTGCGCTGCACAGCCCTGAACCAGCACATTTTTGCAACAGCTCTGTGCCAACATGAGCACGTCTGAGCGTCCTATTTAGGCCATCCCTGCGGCGCTCGTTGCAGTCCGGGGCCAACATGATCGTGTCGGGAAGCGCCGTGGTGAAGGCCGACAGTCCGCAGCAGGTGATTACTCAGCTGAAGCAGGCGGTGCAGAAGGTCTTCCCCTAGCGCCGTTGGTACCAGGCCCGCCCGCTGCCGACCGGAACCTTCCTCGCGCCGCACATTCCAGAGCTTCGCTTCGGCCGCCGCTGCCGTTCGTGGAGTGGTCGGCTGACCTTCCAGGGCCTGGCTGGCGCACCGTCGGAGGCGCGCACGGCGGCGGGCGCGAGGTCCGCTTCCCCGTGGCTGTTTTGTACCGGTTCACCCACGATCGGGACGGAGCACGTTCTGACATTTTACCAAAGCTGTCTGGTGGCGGGTTAGAGCGGGACGTGACACTTGGGTGGGAAACCGTACGGGGCTGTGTAGCACAGCACTCCGAGGAGCGCGGACGACGCCTGAGATCCGGAAGGGAAGCACCTGAACAACATTCTGTACCGTGACTGGCAGTAAGACACACGCACCTGTAGCTTGTTCTAGATAGAGTATAGGAAGGATGGTATCGTATATCGATATCGTATCCATCGTATCGTATATCGTATATCGAGCGGACATCTAGCGTCTGTTCCAGCTGGTTCTCCGTTGGAAGTGGAACGAGATCTACGTGAAGTCAGTTCCATGGAGCCCGCTGAAACAGACCTTGTCTCTAAACATGTATTCAATGTTATGCGCAATACACAAAATGCAATGGCTTTCTAAAGAGGTGCGGTTTGGCTGGGATGTGGTTGCACACAATGCTTCAGAAATCAGACGCAGGCCTTGCGGATTGCCTTGATCAACGTTCCAGGGCAAATGTCGGCACCAGTCCGTCTTGTGCGAGCCGTTCCACATTTTGACCAAAAGGTATCGATGAATATAGCGTACGTCGCCTGCGCACACACAAGTTACAGATATCTCAAGCAGCCGTCAGCCATCACCACGAGCTGAAGCTGCCAAAGTCGTAGCCGGCCTCTTTTTTCCTCTTCGGCGCCTGAGGCGGCGGTTCTTCAGCTTTCCTGAAATCGGAACACGGTTTAAGGCCAGCCCATTGCTCTCGCCCGCCTACATGACGACGCCATAAACCTTACACAACGCTCCTGGCATGACCGGTGATCACGGCGGGCCCGACGACACCCAGCGATGCCGGTGGCGAGCAGCTCGGCCAGGGAGAAGGACCGGCATGGTCGGACGGCCTCGTGTGAAGCCTTCCGCTCCCAGTCCATCAGTCGTCTGGATAAATCACGCATCAGACGTAGACCTCCTCCCCACGCCTATACTTGTTATGCCAGGCGCCACACACGTCGTCGCACTGCCGTGCGGCGCGGTCTCGCTCAAAGCACAGGGCTCTATCGGCGGGAGGGAGGGGTACCAGGTGCACACTGGGCGACGAGCTGCAGCTCTACCGCGCCAGCGTCGCCTCCGCCTGTCCCGTTCACTTAGCTCTCGTCGCACCCCGCGAAATCGACCGACTGGCACTGCATAGACGGCAATCGCCACCGATCGGCAGCTGGCGGCAGCGAGACACCTCGCCCCGCCCGCACGACAATTAAGGCCCGGCAGTCGCCACCGATCGGCAGCTGGCGGCAGCGAGACACCTCGCCCTGCCCGCTCGACAATCAAGGCCCGGCGCCGCCGGTCGCCACTCACGTTTAGAGGTGGAGGTGGAGGCGGCGGCCGGGCCGGGGGCGATGTACTTGCCGACGCCGGCGCGGACGGCGGCGAGCGGCCGGCGGACGGGGGCGGCGGCCGCCGGCGCCGGCGCCGTCCGCTCGGCTTCCTCCGTCCGCAGCCGCGCCAGCTGGCGGCCACGCCACGCGCAGGTCACGACACGGTCACAGGTCAAGTCATGGGGCGTCGTCGGAGGTGCACGACTACGTGCGGCAAACGCAGCCCACTCCGGGACGACCAGTCGATCCTGCTCCGGGCTGCACGCCATTGTTCCTAATGAAGCGGCTTGCGGTCACCAGCAGTGAATGGCGGTGACTGTGACGAGCAGTGACAAGATAAGCATATTAAGACCACGAACACGAAATAATATGTCATGCAGAATAAGCCCTATGACCAACTTGCGGCCACGTGACGGCCCTTTCCACCCGCGGATCCACTCCACTCTACTGACCTCCTGGTCGGCCTCCTGGAACGGGTCGACGAACACGTGGCAGGCGGTGATGATGATGTCCTCGATGGGCCGGTCCTTGTTGTCCACCTCCACCTGCTCGATGGCCGAGAGCGTCTCGAGGCCGCCCACCAAGCCGCCGAACACCGTGTGCTTGTTGTCCAGGTGCTTGCACGACCGGTATGTGATGAAGCTGGGGGAGAGCCGGCGGCATCAGGCGCAGCCGCCATCGGCCTGTTCAGTTCAGCGTCAGTGAAGAGCCAATGGTGTCGCTGGCACTGCCGCTGCGATGTTCCACGTAACACATCGTGGCAACGTGTCGGCAGGCGCGAAAGTAGCACATCTAGAGCCTACACACGTGCCTTGTTTCCGGATGTATTCACTCTGGGCAGGAAATCCACTCAACTGGAGCACATTTCCAGATCGACACTCTGTCGTCCAGTCCGTCTGGCGCGCCCGCCGCCACGACTCTCGGCCGTCGGTCCGGTACTCACAACTGTGACTTGTTGGTGCCCGGTCCCGAGTTGGCCATGGAGAGCACGCCGCGGCCGGTGTGGCTCAGGTTGGGCCGAAACTCGTCCGCGAACGGCTCGCCCCAGACGCTCTGGCCACCCTCGCCCGTACCCAGCGGGTCGCCGCCCTGTACCTGCAGCAGACGCGGCGGCGGCCCCGCCGACTCAGCACGCCGACCAGCCGCACCCAGTGACGTCATTAAAGCGGCCGTACGACGGCCAACACGCTACTGCCGACCGCGCAGCGGCCGCCTGGCGGCAAACGGTAACTCCGGTCCGCGGTGGAGAGTTCGGAGCGTGCTACGGTAACTCCGAACTCGCGGCGGAGAGTTCGGAGCGTGCTACTGCAGCTACCGAGAGGCGCACTCACACTCACATTTCACTCACTCACAGAGGTGCACTCAGACGTCGCCAACTTACAAGACACTGGGCATGCACTTTGTTCGGGGGAGAACAGGAAGATATGGAGGAAAACATGTTGAAACCGATACGTCATGGCTCCTGAGTGACGCCAAATTTCGTACTTCTCAGCAAAGTGCAATACGATAAATTGTACCTATCAAAAACGGTTTCGAAATGGGTCTCCAAACCGCTAGAACCAGCTCTTCTGAGACTAAAATGACCCACGGCGGCAAGCTAAAAAGGCCTTACAACAACGCAAAATGGAACTCCAAAAAGTGTCTCTTCAATCACAACACACGCCCACCGCCGGAGGCATTGACAGTTTTGCACTTGGCTGGCCTCGCCATAAAGCTGTGGCCTGAAGGGTTGGCATGCTACAACATACAACTGGCTACTACGTGGCGTTGGTTTCCCATTGGGACCGTGTTAGGGCAAGAACTACGCCTGATTATTACGGGGTGAAGAGCGAACGCATGGCAAACAAGATGCAATATCAAGAAGGAAGGGATACAGCAACCTTTTACGCATTTGACAAAGGCCGTTTTTCGGTGGTCCAATCTCATTGATCGTGTCTACTCAGTAGATGACTGTAATTGCCCAATGGCTGAATCCTAAGCGAGCTAAAAAAAAAAAAACAGTGGAACATCAACATTTAGAATTTCGTCTTGCAATATCAAGTAGTTCATTTATATTATAGTCGATTATAGTCGATTCATATTAATGTTGCTTACCATAAAATTTCTGATGGACCGATGGAACTTGGTGCCGGCGTAATATCCGCTGGCGCAGTGCTTGATGAAGTTCTCGCAGGCCTTGGGCGTCTGGTCGCAGTGCAGCTCCAGGTTTAGCGGGCCCACATTCGTCATTAGTCGCACATAACCTGCCCAGAGACTACAGTCAGCAGGGCGCCGACTAGCCCAGCTTACGCAAGCGGTCAATGTGGGCCTATGTACCAGCCTATCAAAAAGCTTGATCGTCAGTTTTCACAAACAAACAAGCAACTGGCTTTCCACTGATGGTATCGTCACACCGCTTCAGGCAACCGAGAGGCCGCTGGCCCCGGGGACGGACAGACCTTCGGCACAGCTACACCCAACTGACCAGTGAGCAGCTCTCAACGACAGCATGGCCGTCACCAGCCGACCTGGCCGCCCGCCCCTCCTGCTCCAGCGGCGCGGTCCGCGGCCCGTCCCTGCTGCCCCGGCGACGCGGTCCGCCCCCGCCTCTCCTGCCCCAGCGGCGCGGTCCGCCGCCCGCCTCTCCTGCGGCACGGTCCGCCGCCCGTCCCTCCTGCTCCAGCGGCACGGCCCGTCGCCCGCCCCTCCTGCTCCAGCGGCGCGGTCCGCCGCCCGACCCTGCTGCCCCAGCGGCGCGGCCCGCGGCCCGCCTCTCCTGCCCCAGCGGCGCGGTCCGCCGCCCGCCCCTCCTGCCCCGGCGACGCGGCCCGCCGCCGCCCGGCCAGGCGCGTGCTCACCTTTGGTTTTGACGTGCCGATAGCGCACCGTGTCGTCGTCGACCACGGCCGCCTCGTGCTGCAGCACCGGCTCCATTACGGTCGACGTGAAGCCGGCCGCCACCACGCCCGTGGAGAAGTGGGCCTGCGACGCCAGGGCAGGTCAGGTTATGTCAGGCCAGGTCAGGCTACGTCGGAGTGGGGCAGGTCAGGTCGGGTTATTTCAGGCCAGGCCAGGCTACGTCAGAGCGGGGCAGGTCAGGCCGGGTTATGTCGGGCCAGGCCAGGTCAGGGCGGGTAGGAGCGGGTCGGTTCAGGTCGGGTTATGTCAGGCCAGGTCAGGTTAGGGCGGGAAGGACCGGGTCGGTTCAGGTCGGGTTATGTCATGCCAGGTCAGGTCGGGTCAGGGAGAGACGGGGCGGGCTGGGTCGCGTCAGGTCCGGCTGGTGTGGCCGAGCCAGGGGCTGGCGCCCGCACGATGATGTCGGTTGATCGCGATCGGCCGGCCAAAACATGGCTGACCCCGCCCCTCCTCCTCTCTCCGATCCTCCCGCGCCAAGGTGCTTTGCTGTTTAACGCTAGCACTGCTATGCACAACGCTGCGGCTTTTTGGAGGTATGCAACACGCCACATCAAGAAGTCTCCGAGATTCCGACACGAATATCCTTTATAGAGCCCTCAGAATGTCAGGCGGTGAGCTGATCACACAGGTGGTCAGTGTTAGCGTATCTACCAAAAACTTACGGCGTTAAACTTGTCGGCTTTTCTCTGCTCCTTGGTGACCTTCTGCGTCGGCTTGTATTCCCTGTTGAGTTCTTCCAACACATCCTTGGTCACGGTGTTCACCTTCTTCAGCCGTGCGGCGGGATCGATTTTACTTCTCTCCGCCTCTGTTGAAACGGGAGAAGGAGACAACGCCTGAGATTAATTTCCTGAGGTACATCTGTGCCATTTCGCTGGGCGTTAGGTAATTTGAATATTTTAAGATGCGCTGTTTTAAAAGGATTATACGCACCACTAGACACCAAAACTTACCCTCGTCCACGACCTTGACATTGTTCTTTATGTGATAGAACGCTGACAAATTGAACTTCTCTAGATTCTTCGGGTCTTGTATGGTGATGATGTCCTTCCTAGTAAACGGCTCGTCAGTCAGAAGCTCTTTCCAGTTCTGGGGCTTTATATTCAGCTCCTCGACAGCCTGCAACCACAACCAAACGAGGTTCGGACATGGAATAACATGACCCACATTGGAATGCAAAGTTCAAACAGATCAAGCGCAACAAGACTTACATCAACTTAGTGGGACTCCCCGGAGTCACAGCTTCAATTGACGAGAAGTCATTGACAAAAGCTGTTTCGACAGAAGCCATCCCCGAAATACCCCGAATAACAGATCCGAAACCAGGGAAGATGGTGAACAAAATCACGAAGGTAAAACATTCAAACAAAGAGGGATCGTTCAAACGAGGCACTCCTTACCTCATATGACATAACATTGCCAGTGGTTTTGATAGCCACGATGTGCGAGTTTTCTGTGAAGACCTTGAACAGGACAGGACAGTGGTACTTCCCTTCTTTGTTCTTGGCAAAATGCAGCTTAATGAGCGCCTTCGCCTCCAGCGGCTGCGAATTGAACAATGCAACGCATTAGATAAACTACGAGCGTTCGTGTAGGATGGCGCTTCGATCGATTACGAACCTGATAAAAGTTACCTACAGCGCCTATATCCAACACATCCACATCATATAATGGACACATCGCTACTCTCCAAAACGGCACCGTCGGTGAGTGATGTAGCACTCAGGCGAAGCCCCTAAAAACTAAAGCTAAACAGTCGCCTGGTTATCAGCAAATGAACTAAAGGTCTACGCGACACTGGCGGACAAATATCTGCGTGACACACACCTCACGAGGCCCGGTCCTCACGAGACCCGGTCCTCACGAGACCCGAACCTCACGAGACCCGGTCCTCACGAGACCCGAACCTCACGAGACCCGGTCCTCACGAGACCCGGTCCTCACGAGACCCGGTCCTCACGAGACCCGGTCCTCACGAGACCCGGTCCTCACGAGCCCCGGTCCTCACGAGACCCATTCCTTACGAGGCTCGGTCCGCTCCTCAGACCAGTCCACAGCCACACTGTACACCTCGAGGACCGATCCTCACGAGGCCCGCCCTCCTGAGGCCCGCCCCACCCCTCAGACTAGTCCACAGCCACACTGTACACCTCGAGGCCCGATCCTCACGAGGCCCGGCCCTCCTGAGGCCTGCCCCACCCCCCAGACTAGTCCACAGCCACAGGTTATCACCGGAGCCAAGCCGCACACCATAATCCGAATATCATCATTTCCCTACGGCCTCCGGAATTCGGCAAAGACCTATGCTGCCCATCACCAGCTTCGCCAGTGCCGCCAACTGTATGGGGCAGTCGGTCTTAGCTCTTTATAATGCGCAGCTGATCCATGCAAGCGCTAGAACAAAAACGCACGGCCGAAGCGGCATTTTCCTCCGTGGTTAACTCTTCATATTAAGCTGTTTTTCTAAAACCGCTTTAACTGGCTTGTTAGGTCGGGTCAAGCGAGAACAAGCCACGTTAAGCTAAATGGTCTGCTTTCTCTATGTGGTTTTACGACTTCGCGGAGAAGGTTGATAAAAGTCCGGGCATACCAACATTTAGTTCCGCGAGGCGATGTCAGGTTCCCTGAGGTCATTCCATCACCTTTCATGGACTTCGTTTTGGTGTGAAAAGCTTGCTAGCAATACCTTTCGCGGTTCTGTCAAATTAGCCTGATGCGACCGTGACCTTAAATAACCTCCACTACCATTGTCAGGGCTCAGCTGCTCTTTCAAGATATCATGGGCTCGGGAAAAAATGCGGCGTAAATTTCCAATGCCTGACTACAGGTGACCTTTGCTTAAGAGCATGATTCTACCTTTTACTCTTGACGGACTTCTGAAATGCATTTCATTACAATTGTGACCACGGTGAAGGTCACGGACACTCATACGCAATGATAGAATGTTTCACACCCTCCGAGCCCCCGCACGAGAGAATCTGGTGCGCACGCAGCCAAGAGCGCGCTGAGCAGCGGGCGTTGCCCATTTTCGTAAAGCCCTGTTTTGAGACCGACGTCGCCGGCCCGTGACGCGGTACGGCAAGAACCCAAACACCGGCCCGTGACGCGGTACGGCAAGAACCCAAACACCGGCCCGTGACGCGGTACGGCAAGAACCCAAACACCGGCCCGTGACGCCGTACGGCAATAACCCAAACACCGGCCTGTGACGCCGTACGGCAAGAACCCAAACACCAGCCCGTGACGCGGTACGGCAAGAACCCAAACACCGGCCCGTGACGCGGTACGGCAAGAACCCAAACACCGGCCCGTGACACGGTACGGAAAGAACCCAAACACCGGCCCGTGACGCCGTACGGCAATAACCCAAACACCGGCCTGTGACGCCGTACGGCAAGAACCCAAACACCAGCCCGTGACGCGGTACGGCAAGAACCCAAACACCGGCCCGTGACGCGGTACGGCAAGAACCCAAACACCGGCCCGTGACGCGGTACGGAAAGAACCCAAACACCGGCCCGTGACGCCGTACGGCAATAACCCAAACACCGGCCTGTGACGCCGTACGGCAAGAACCCAAACACCAGCCCGTGACGCGGTACGGCAAGAACCCAAACACCGGCCCGTGACGCGGTACGGCAAGAACCCAAACACCGGCCCGTGACGCGGTACGGAAAGAACCCAAACACCGGCCCGTGACGCCGTACGGCAAGAACCCAAGCACCGGCCCGTGACGCGGTACGGCAAGAACCCAAAACACCGACCCGTGACGCGGTACAAGAACCCAAAACTGGCAGGTGAGATGTGAAAAAGTTGCAAACACAGAGCGTCATCTTTGATTTCGTTGAAGACGATCCACGCACCGGTTTAGGACACCTGTGAAAGACTACGAGTGTCACACCAGTCTGTCCTAATGAGAAATACATCCCCCGAGGTCTTGCCCTTTGATTAATACAGCAGTGCACGTGGATAAGTGTTCGTACTCAAAAGCTCCTCCCAGTCAGAACAGCGCATGTGGCGGCTCTTGACAGATTCACCCTCTCACCTCGCTCGTGACGGGGTCACCCTCTCACCTCGCTCGTGATGGGGTCACCTTCTCACCTCGCTCGTGACGGGGTCACCCTCTCACCCCGCTCGTGATGGTGTCGCGCTCTCACCTCGCTCGTGACGGTGTCACCCTCTCACCTCGCTCGTGACGGGTTAAACTTTTCACCTCGCTCGTGACGGGCCACCCTCTCACCTCGCTCGTGACGGGTTTAACTTTTCATCTCGCTCGTGACGGGTTAAACTTTTCACCTGGCCCGTGACGGGCCACCCTCTCACCTCGCCCATGACGATGCCACTCTCTCACCTTGCCGGTGATGGGGTCGATCTTGTACTTCCTGACGAACGGCACCACGTGCACCAGGTCGTACACGTGGCCGTCGGCCGTGCAGAGCGGGTGCTCGAAGGGCTGCAGTGACAGGGCACAGTGCGTGTAGGGCAGGCGCCGGAACTCGCGCTGCTCGGGCCGCGCCGGCCGGTGGCCGCCGTACTGAGTGGCCCATTCGGTGGCCGTCAGGTACCTGGTGGCGCGGGAGGGAGGGGTGGTGTAGATCAGTCACGAGTGCAGTGGTCAGCCAGCAAGGCTGCATGGTGTCACGTGTTATGTCAGCTGGATATTCACGAGACTGCAAATGAGAATTGGAGTGTTGGTGCAAAGGAGTATTGATTTGTGGGATGCCACCCCACTTACACTGCGATCTTGCCGTGATTGCACTCACGTCCTGTGATGCACTGCACTCACACTGTGATGAACGTGGTGTGATGCAAGGACCCTACAGCTCAGTGGTTATAGCTCTGGGTGCTGCTTTGATGCAGTACATCATATCGCTTACCACTCGCTCGGATGGCGGGAGGGGAGAGATTGACATCCCCAAAGATTTTCTAACGGCGTGGCGTAGCCCCACCAAACTTTGCATAGCTGCAGACAATTGAATAGTGAATCTTTTGATGCACAGAATAAGATGTAACTTGTGAGGTCACTGACCTATGGCATGTCAAAGTCAAGAAATGGCTGTCAGTGAAGGGCATTTCTTGGGAATCATTCCATGTGATGCAACAATGGAGTGTTAGACAAAGCCATATATATTTGAGATAGCTTCTTAGGCAATAAACCAATTGAATTTACAATTACAACCAATTCCATCAATTTGTGGCCAGGTATAAAGGTTGGAGCAATATCAAAACAAACCTGCTTTTTTATTCCAGAGATTGGTTTTAGGGGATAGTTTCTGGTGCTCCTTTTGGATTCATTTATGACAAGGACCCCAACAGATGTGCTCCATGGACATTTTAAAGGTAAAAATAGATCACTGATTCAAAATGACCCCAGTCAACATTTTGTTTTTAGAAACATGCCAGCTAGTATAATCCCGTGTGGTTATTAAAAAAGCAAAAAAAGAGTAATCTTGTGAGTCTTTGGTCACATTGACCTAATAAAGGCCAAACAAAGTCCCTAACCACATTGAACTTTAACCTATAATTGGTATCTGGCTGCACAGCAGTTGCATGGGAGGTCTGGGGACACTTCAGAGGCCATTTCAGACATTGACCTTATTTAACCTTTTTTACTCCAAGATCATGACTGAGGAACCTCAAATTCTGACACAAGTAAGTTTACATACAGGCCAATCTACCCTGTGAATTTGGTATATCTTGCTATCTCAGTTTTTGAGACCACAGGGGATCACTCTGACCCCCTCCAGGGCAGAGGGTATTGAACTGACCACCTGGAGACATGTTAACTCATCCTCATCATGTTATTTCCTTTTTCTGCTCCTCATTCCAGGGCTGTGTCAGTAGACATAAGCAGTATCACATTGGATAAAACACCATCCTGGTGACAGGGTGTGACTGGTAATAGCATGAGCATTCCAGACCATATCTACACCATTGTTGTGCATCTATCATTATCAGCAATGCCTGTTGACTTATCAAGCAGCATTCCCACTAATTTATACCACTTTCTAAGTCAAGCCCTGATGATGGCTTGGGGAAGTCACCTTTCAAGAGGCCTGATCAAACATTTTGATGGAATTGCTTTGGAATCAGAGTTTATCTTGTTGACAACATGACATGTCATACAATACTGCAGCTCTGTCACTTGCTGTCTTGATCATTGCCATGATCTGATGGGATTAGAAATGGTACTCACAGTTTATCCTTCTGATGCTGCTTCTTCCCCATTTTCAGATGTGGATTAAGATCCTATTCTTTATTCACAGGACAGCTGAGAATGTTCTAGCCCTCAGCCTTGAATGCTGTAACATAAAAGCATTATTGTAACTATGGGTTGCATTCACACATGTTAAGCTTATGCATAGAAATACAATCATTAACACTACTGAATTAATGGTTTTTTAAATGTGTTATGCTGCTGGTAGGTGAAGCATAATAATGCTCTCTTGCCCAGTTTGACATGCCAACCCCCATGAACAGTCTAGTACCTCAGAATAGAACATCAATAGTACTCTACAGGTATACATTACCAATCCACTTATTGACTGATGTAGATGACACATTCTAAGTGAATTGGCACCATCTTCAACAATCAATTCTGTTATGTTATCACCAGGCCAGGCTGCAGAAATATATGTCACACAATCTGGTCTAGCAGCCACATTGTAGCAACCTTCCAATGTGCACTAGAAATCAATTTGCTCAGAGTTACAAAATGTCTCTTTAAATGATCATGTATGATATCTCCTGTTATAAAGAGGGCAATTGAGATACAATGCTGTTGTAAGGTGCTGTAAAACCTTGACCAAATTAATGTTGTTTTTGCCAAATACATGAATTGTTTTTCTAATGGTGAATTCATTCAAAGTTAAGATCATAGGGTCACCATAAAATACATTTAAGTTTTTTCCAAAAAAACAGTGCACAACATTCTAATCATATGACTCAGTTTGAAAACGCAAAAAAATGTCAAGAACTAAATTATTTACTCCCATACACTTTCCCCTTTGCATTCCTCCCTGTGCACATCTACTGACTCATGGCCATGAGCTTCAGGGCGATAGGGGAGGAGTCATTCCACAGCGTGGTGCATTCTCTCAGCCTGCTTCCCCAAGCCTCTTGAAAACAAATCTGAATTGGAAACAGTCCGATTTTTATGGTTCCCACGTCAAAGACAGCATGATAATGCTGTGATGATCCTTCCATTTCCACCAAAAATAAGATATGGAAACAAACCGACCAGGCGTGCAGGCGTAGTGCCGTAGTTTCACAATTGCATGGCAGCCCCAGGCCCCAACGCGACGCCGTACCCAGCGTGACAAATCAGCCTTGTTTATGAAAACAGGTGCGCAATCAAGGTACGCAATAATGGCAAACGGACTATAAATATATGGTAGCGCTTAGAGCTACCATATGTTAGCAGCGACACGATTGGCTCGTGGCTATTTAGTGAATATTACTGTGGGTGCTACCTGACGGCTGACACCGTTCCAATCTCACCATCCATAGAGAAAATTACGAACACAGGAATCACTACACCCCTTTTCTTCAAATTGCCACCAGTCCATTGTTATCGCCCAGATCAGGGCCGCATGCAGAAGGTATGTGCCCTCCCCTCCCTCTCCCTAAGGTCCCGAGGTGCCCGAAAGGTTCCTCGCGACAGACGATCAAGGGCCCAATTGTATTCCTAACGGGATCGAAAGGTTGGTCGCAAGCCGCAGTAAGGAATCCGACTCTCAGTTCTGGGCCCTTAAATATCAGTTGGAGGGCCGTCTGTAGCAATCGGGGGGCTCTGAAGAGATAGGGCCTTTATCCCAACCAGCAATTTCCGTCCGATCCCGACCGAGATATCCCGACCAGTTCCCGACAGCCCGTTTCCCAATGACTGTTTGGTTGGGGCAAGCTGTGCGATCAGCTTTGAAATTAGAACTTTTGTCAAAATTGTGGGATTGCAATTGAGACTGAGATTCACCCACCAGCTAAACTCATCTGAAAATTATGCCGGAGAATCCTTTGCCAAGATTTTGTGGTGCTGGAAATCCTAACCCCTTCCGAGCATCAATTTGAAAATTACACAAATCAAGCTTCGGCCTGGGCTACCTTTTTAACTTTTTGAACTACAAATTGATTCCATCAAACGTCTTAAAATACTATCCAGCCAGCATGTCCAACTGGTACCCATAACGTCCCAGTCGTCGAAATTCAATATAATGTAACTCCAACATCTACGATTATGCCAAAATACACGGCGGTAGGAGCATTCAGCACACTAACTATGATGATGCATATTTTTCCATTACATTAAACACTGACACCTAGACATCGAATTTCACTGTTAATAACCCAGACCCTACAATCTTTTGCAAACTCAATACAGTCGTACTATTCAACGTGCTAGCTGCCATAGTGCACCTTGGTTTCCGTCGCATGAAAATTGACTGCCTCCAAAACGTGATTAAATTCAAATATCACTTGAGTCGGATCACTAAGATTTTGCTCAAATGCGTAACACTAGCATTGTTCCACATACAGATAACGATGCTCCACCTCATTCTCACTACATTTAAAAGATGAACTCCACAGGATATTAATGTTCAAGGTAGTTGAATACTGACCACTAACTTATGTTAGTGTATTGCTAGAATATGTATTAGAATATCTAGCAATATATATTGCTAGAATGAACAAAATCAGCAGCCATTTGGTGGCATTGAAGTCGCCTAGAAGGAAGCCAATAAATATTTGTGCTCTTTATGACGCATTACACTTTAGTTATCTTGGTTTTTGTAATTTATCGCATTTAAGGGTATATTGTAAGATTTTTTATATATTTGACCCCAGGTGATAATCATGGCTGTTCCAAATTTCGTCGGTGACAGAAAAAAACACGTTTCGCCATTGCGATTTACATCCCGGTGAGAATAACTTGTTCACTGAAGAGCCTGCACTACTTGTTTACCTTGAAGTTGGCTGATAACTGTCTCCCCTTCCATATTTTCAAACTATAGGCAACTGAAAGAATGCAGAACAAAAAAGAAAGCACAAGCCCAACTAAGGCCAAAGGGGCATTCGACTGGCCGAATTACAGATACACGGGAAAAATAATCTAACTGGGACGAGCGCTTCCAGTTGTTTTAACATACATGCCTATTCTGGTGTGCAGTTGGCTACGTGCTGTCCAGTACGGTATATAAATCGGCTAATGCAGCATTGTCCACGCTGAACTTTGGAAGATTCGAGCAAGCGACTGAAAATAAAGTATGTGTAGTTACTCGGCAGCTACAAACGATTGGAACCGATACGCTTAAAAAAAAATGTCACAAAAATACGTCTCAAATGCTCAAAACGAAAGCCTTTTAGAGCTTAACTATCACTCAATGCTTACAATATACAGCGATTCCTTCAAAATTGCACATCGTACAATAATCTCAATCCATTATTTCTTTTTATAAAAAAGTAAACGATGTTGACCCACCACGAACATTTATTGCTAGCAACCTTACGTTGGGCTCCAGCTTTAATGACAGGATGGAAGCCAGCTCAATAAAAACCTGAATGCGCAGTCGTTTGTTATGAAAAGAAAAAATTACGCCACACTTCGTTATGAGTCAAGATCTATATTCTTGGTTTGGAATCGCCAATCGCGTGGTCTAATATCCTCGATCACGTCGACTACGACAGAACCTCTACTCACTTGCCGCTAAAAGCAGTGAACGGCGATGGGCCGTGTTTCTTCGGCCGCAACTGGCTCAGTGGTATGAAGCTTGTTTGGCCCGCAATGTGTCGCACACCGCCTCAGTGTCGTGTCCAGCCTATGGTAAACAAGTTTCCTTAGCGCTAGGACGACGTCACTCTCGAGGGTGTGACGTCACTCCTGGGGGGGGGGGGGGGGCGAGCTGCATGCCCTCAATCGGCTCTCCCCTGGGCGCCGTGGCGCTGGTGTCGGACCCATGTGCGCCGATTATCACCTATGTGAAATATTGCCTGTCGCTTCACGGGACGAATCAAGATAATGAAGACCACCGCAAGGAGAGACTCGTTCCGAACGTTCTGAACGACGGACATATTTCTACCCAGTCCAGTCACCCTTCCCCTCAGCAGTTCCGTCAGTTTTGCGGAGCAGCTCGGCCGTGGCGTCGCGACCAAACTCGTACCGACGGATGTCTGCTTGACACTGCTGATAGCGGCCGGCCGGTGCTGCAGCCACACTCAGCGGGTAACCGCCAGCGTTGCAGTGGGCCGACGTTGGGGTGCCGTGCAAGAGGCGTGACGGTCTCCTGTCGGAGAGCTCGGTGCCGTCATGGACATGGGAGAGCATTTGGATTTATTAGTGAACCTGCTGAACCGTAAGTGTGGTGATCTCGTCGACATGGTGATTGACTGCGTCCTGTCTGTGAAACCACAGCTGAGCGTGGCGGACGTGTTCGCGTGCAGCGTAGTTGACGAGCAGCAGCGGCTGTTGGCGAGTCTGCGATCGGTCCCCCTGCTGAACGTGCTGCAGAAGGAGCGTGCCACGTGCCGGTGCTCACCGCTGGGTCAGCTCACCATACAGAGCGCCACCATGTCCGGAAGTATGATGGAAGGGATCTACGACGTTGGAGGAGACCCAGAATTGAATAGTTCGGACATGGACATCATGTATTGCCTCGGTGAGGTTAGCTTTGTGACTGGCGGCACGGCCACCGGCCAGCCAGGCTCGGTGGGACGAACATCTTCAGACTCACCGTCGGCAATCAGCGACTCAGAAGTTCCACAGTTGATGATAGTTCCGACTGAGAACCCTGCTTTTGTGACGCTGCTGCAGACTCCAAGGGGAGACTGTCCCCACTCGGAGCCCTTACCATTCTCAGCTGAGAGTGTCCGCCAGCTTATGCGCGACTTTTTGCTGGTGACATACCCCCAACATAAAACATTGGAAGCTAGCGGACCAGCAACAGCCTTCCCCATGGGAGAGTATGACCTTGTGGTAGGTCATGACTACGTACCCTGCCTGCATGTTCACTGGTGGCCGGATAACGACTTCCTTCTACGTGGCCGTAAGTGCGACTGGCCGCCGGAGGCGGTACGAAACGACATCTGCAGATTTGGGGTTCACATCGTGCCAACTGGCTGTAAAGGCAGCGCCACAGAGCGATGCGAGTGGCGGCTATCATTCTCACGCGCGGAGGTGGTAGCCGTTTGGCACATGAGTAAGGTGCAGACACTGGCGATGTGCGCTCTCAAGATTTGCAAACAGCGTCTGAAGTCTGCCGGAAAAGCCGTCAACATCAAGTCCTATTTCTTCAAGACGGGGCTGCTCTGGTTATGTCAAAATAAGCCAAGCAGCCAGTGGCAGAGTGTAACTCGAGCCGCTCTTGATACCTTGGACTTTTTGGATGAGGCCTTGGACATCCGTCGCCTGCCATGTTTCTTCTCAGCCAGGATCGACCTGCTAAAGCCCCTGTCTGCGGAAGAGCTGAACGCAATGGCACACTCCATCAGCCTCATGAAGCACGGTGTGAAATCGCTGCTGTCGCGCGACTGCGCTCACGTCCATCTGACGCTGCTGCAGCCCGTGCTGAAGGTTCCTGGAGAGCCGGCGTCGAGGAGCCAGCTCCGGACCGGTCTGGCCCGCGCGCTGGTGCTGAAAGCCGTGGCATCAGGCATTCTTCACCGGCCCACTGCACCATTAACGCAATACTCATCGAAGGGCACCGTCCCGTCAATGTTGAGACTGGCCATGGAAACAGAGCTGGAGAGAATAAACCACCACTTTCTTGGCAGTACCAAGCAGCAGCAGTTTCTGTTCCAAGCCATGACCATGGCACCGGACGCCCTGATCTGTCAGATGCCTCTGGTACCTCTCGGTGGGAATATGTTCACATTGGACGCAGCACCCCTGATGACACTTCTCGATACCAAAGACGTGGAGAAGCTGTTACGCGATCCGGCCGCTGTGAGTGCTTGGTGCAGGAGCCAGCACGAGCTGCCGGCGGCCCAGCGGCCGGCCGGCCTCCCGGCCGACCCGGACACACCTCGAGGCTTGGCTGACCTCCTCCTTAACGCGCCACTGCTGATGCGCGCCCTCGGCGAGACCGTGCCCGGCTGGCTGGAGATGGTCCGGGAATCGGAGAATCAGTACATGAAAGAGAGAGCAGACCCCCACCCAAATATCGAATTTCCATCATACGACGACATCCGCAAGCACTGGGCTGTGCAGACCCATAGTGACCTGCAGTCCATTCTCCAGATGACTCTTTGGCTTGACTCTCCGACAGCGTGCCGCATGTCGACGGACTGGAGGAAATCCATACAGGAGCAGCTATCTGTTC